GGGCGGGCCGGAGACCGGCCGGGCCGCCGCTGCCCGGGTGAGAGGCCGGCCGGCCAGGGATCAGCGCTTACTTATCAGCGCAACGCTTTGCATTTCGATTTCCTCATTGTCTGGGTGCAGCTGAGGTGCCTCGGCGCCTCTCTGTGCCTGAAAATATATTTTCTGCTTTTCAGCTTTCTTTTCCCAGGCCGACAAAGTTAGCAGCGTCTTTAAAAGGTGCTGTGAAACCTGTTCAGTTCCAAAACACCTTCAGAGCGTGTTTTCACGTTTTCTGCTTGCCCCCGCTGGTGACAGTAACTTTGATGTAGATCCTACAAATCATACTGGGTGGAAGGGACTAAGCAGGAGCAAATAGCGCAATGTTTATTTTAGGAGAAATGGAGAAATGAGCAGACTTCCTCTTGCCTAGGAATGCGGAAAAATGAGAGTCTTACAAGCAGTGCTGAGTTTCATGTCACAAACTAACATGCAGCCTTTTCTGCAAGTCTGTAGACACTGGTTACCTACAAACGGTAGGCGAAAAATCCACCGCTGCTGCTCACATCATAAAAATATTACACATGGCTTTTTGCTTTATTTTTTAACGTTCCGAAGTGGGGCATTAAGGCTCATAGATCTTCAAGGATCATAGGGTTTGGAGCCTGCTTTCATTTTTCCCTTAAACTGCCAATTTCAGCTTCATTACAGTGACATTCATTGTGAAACAAACAGATAGAGCTTTAAAGGTGCAAATTACCCTTTAGTTAATATTTTAGATCACATGAGCATGGTTTGAAATGAGCATTCCAGAACAGAATTCATATGGTCTTTAACACGTTACTGAAATCTATCCAATGCCGTATAAAATATTTTACTCTGTCATTTGGCTGAATTTCATTTGAACTCTTAAAAATCAAAGACGTTGTAACATTTGATGTGAAAATTAAAACAGAAGTAAAACTTTATCATGTTGCGGGTTATGGTGGTAGAGGTTTGAGAGCAAAGGAGGTGAAGTAGATTGCCCTTGGTAATCTAGCAAGTCCTTAAGAGAGCTGGAAGGAGAACTGGAGTCCCTGCTTGTAGGCTACACCTAGGCAAGCCATTTAGTCTGGGGGTGAGAGTCAGTGTTGCAAGAACCTGGGGTCACTGGGTGTTTTTCTCCCCCTCCCACTGTATTTACCTGAAGTTTCCAGTTCTTCCAAAGCACTTGTGGGGAAGATTTGTCCTTGGAGAAGAGGCCTTTCAGAACAATGTGTGCCCAAGTACTTTATTTGGCAGAGTAGATGGGATTTTGCTTGAAATTGGAGCCTATGTTCTACTTCATGTCCCGGCTCAGGCAACCATGATTCAATTTGAAGTAGCTCCATGCTTAGCACAGGTAGAAAAGGATAATCTTAAGTGAGGATCTGAAAAAGAAACACGCGGCAAAGACTTACTATAGTATCCATTTTATAACCATTCTGATAGGTCTAAAACTTTTATATATGTTTCCTTTTTTAATTTTGAGTTTACCGGTGGATTAAAATAAAATAAAGAAACAAAAAAATAATAGAGTAACAAAATTAATTCATTTCATCCCCCCCAAGCCTCACTTCTTTATTCTCTATAGGAGTATTTTAGGTAAGGCACGGGATTCATTTTAGTTTAAGGTCTATTGCAACGTACCTTATTGTCTACTTAAGTTCATTCTGCGGGCATTTTGCTGGCTTAAAATAATGGTTGAGCAGCTTCCCTCTCAGACGCTTTCCCCATTTTAGAAACGGGAAGTTCGTTGTGCTAAGCGCGCTGCGAGCTACCTGAAATGGTAATGGTGGCCAGGAAGTAGGTCAGCTTGCAGAAAGTCTTATTTTCGTGCTTCTGCAAATGAACATCCTGCTGCCGTGTTGTAAGCACTTTGAAGCAAGTCAACTCTAAAAAATGAACAATGATTCAAAGGTTTGACATTTAGAATTAATTACTCTGCAGCCTGTTTCTTGCACTTCACTCCTGATTTCAATAGTTTGACTTAAATGCTTTGTATTTTATTGCTCCACAAGAGAGGCAGGGCTAGGGATACTTTATAAAAGTGAACACTTTCACTTGCAGTGTTTGCTTTGTTTATGGCTGGTTTTGTGATAACATTGAAGTGCAGAGTCCTTTCTGTGTTGATTTAATTTTATACATCCTGCCAAGTGGAAGAATTCATGGAAGACTGTAAAAATCTCTCCTGTAATTGTTTTTTTCACAAGGATCTGTTTATGAGAATCTGTTGATCTAAAAGTTAACCTATTAAAACAGTGGTCCCTTTTATGAGGGTTCCATGTACAGTACAATTCTGCAGCCACAACATTGTTGCATAAATTTATAAGACACTAAATTTTATGACTTTTTAAGAACGTTATTTTTCCATATGTTGAAGCACCTTATAAAAGGGAATCTGTTCATCTGGGGAGTTAATTTGCAGGATGTTTTCTACTGCAGTCCTCCCACTGAAAGGCATTATGGCATGAAGTGGTACATGTTTATAAACGCTTTAGCACAGTCTGATATGCCCGTACTAGTGCTTACACTTGCGCTTTCTTAGAAAAGCACACGGTGTTATTTCAGAAGTCTTTCAGCCATTTAGGGCTGGCTCTCAGCAAAGTCCACAGAGGATATAAAGCAGCAGTGTCCCTCTTAATTACTGCTAGGTTATCCTCATCACCATCCAAGTTTCTGATACTGAAATCTAACAAGATTATGGCAGCAATGAGTCCTAACTGCAGTTCTTGAAATAGTGAAAATTTTCAGACAGAGCTACATTTTTGGCATTGCTGTATACTTACCAACCTTATCTAAAAAGCAGAAAATTAGGAGAAAATGGTTTGACATTCTGTATTGTATCAGTTACACAAGTTACAGACTTCTTCGTTTTTCATTTATATTGCATAATTATTTGAGGCATAAAGAATGTGTATGTATATATTTTTTAAATAGATGTTAGTTTGGAAAATGATCTGTTTTTATCTGAAACTCAGTCCAGTTAAGGCAGAGTTGTTACTTGATACTGTTGGAATAAGGCAGAATACCCTTCGTTTGGAAAGGTGTTTATTTCCTTTCATGGCTTGCTTTAAATCATAAATCATCATGCGACGAAAAATACAAACAAGAATTTCTAATTAAAACAAGGGAGACTGTTGAGAGAAGCAAGTTATTTCCAGCTCTGGCAATAATTCAGCTGAAGTAGTTTGATATGTACACACTCCTTTGTTTTGCTGCTCAAAATGAAGAGTAGAAAAAGTACTCAGAGTTGTAATGAGCACTGTTCTGCAGTCATCTTCAATAAATGCCTGGTTGAGCAAGAAAGGCTTATTGCACAGCTTTGTTAGGTGTGCTTATTGGAAGAAGTGTGACATTATTATTATTTTAAGGGAGAGGTCTAATTTTGTGGCATTTCCTGTTTCAAGTCTTCCAAGATGATTCTATTCCCTTTGGTCCTGTAAAAACCATAAAAGATTTGATTATGAAAACCATAAACTCTCCCTAATTTCAACAGAATCAATACCTAGACCACTTCAATTCTAACAACCCAAGACACATATATTGGATTTTGGAACACAGTGCGGTTTTATTACTTTTTAGAAGATAATGGGTTTTTCTTTTCTAGCTTCAAAGTTTGCAGACATTCAGGTGTTTCCCTTACAGTTGGCCTTTTCAGTTATTTATTATATCACTCACAGTTCCACATGCCTTAGTTCTTCCACTACTGTGACACTTCATGTCTGGACTACAGTACAGTTTCCAATAAAATACTACTTCAAGATAAGAGGAGTGACATGCCACGGAATGGCACAGGTGATGTGTCTGCTGCTCAGGGTTAGGAGGGACCAGGGCAGCATTAGAGGATCAAGGGGAAAAAAAAAAAAAAAATCACCTGCTGAAATTTGGATGGTTTCATTTAGAGGCTCTGTCTGACTTCTCGGGTACATTTTGGCACTTTCCATCACCTACCCCGTTTCTGTCAGTTCCCAGCTTTTTACTTTGTTTGGATGGTTTCATTTAGAGGCTCTGTCTGACTTCTCAGGTACATTTTGGCACTTTCCATCACCTACCCCGTTTCTGTCAGTTCCCAGCTTTTTACTTTGTATCTCCATACCCCTTCTGCACTCTGAGCACATCAGTGGCTTTTCAAAGTCCATGAGGCATAATTAACTCTGGAAGCGGTCCCATGGCAGCTGATGTAATTGATTTACTGCTCCATTTCTAGAGGGATCAACCTCTCATCCTTCACACGCTGTTTGCTCTGAAGCGGTGACACCTCCTTCAGCCAGTCATCAGCAGCAAACAAGTTGCATCACAGGGAATCACAGCGTCTTGCAATATATGTCAGACACTCCTTAGCTATATGGTTGTTCTGTAGGTTACCATCTAGTTATAGTGTCACTTTTACTGCAGTGGTTTCTTATTCTTTATATACCTTGTCATTTAGGTTTCTGATTACTAGCAAGGATCAGGAAAAAACATTGTTTAAGAATGTCACCAAGAAGAGTGGCTAGCCAGCATTCATATTCTTTAAATAGGTTAGTAATACACAGGTTGAACTGTTCACATTTTTACAGGTGCCCATGTGAAGTTTGCAATTCTTCCTGAGTACATTTGAAATTCTTCTGCTCAGTTACACTGAAAAAAATCTGGTCTTCCAAGACTATTTCCATTTTGACAATGCATGCCTAGAGTTCTCTCTAAATCTGGCACTTCCTATCACTGTCAGAATTGGTTTTGTTCGTGAATTGCTTCAGTGTAGGCTGCAGTATGTATGAACTCAGTAAATTATCTTTTGTCTTCAGTTTAATTACTCTTCTGCTTCATTGTAGGTGCGTATAGCTGCAAAATTCATCACTCATGCACCCCCTGGAGAATTCAATGAAGTATTCAATGGTAAGTAAATAAGAAAAAATGATTTCATCTATTATAAGGCTGTGTCACAATATACTGCTTTTAAGGTTAAGAAGTGGTGAGGGAAAAGCATGCTGTCATTCTGTGACTACATATGTTTAATGAAATGATTTAATCATTTTAATGTTTGCATTTGTACAGTTGAAATTGAAATGCATAAAGAGAAACATGATCAAAAAAATATAATAACCTACCTGAACACTCTCTTCTCCAGATGTCCGGTTATTGCTTAACAATGATAATCTTCTCAGGGAGGGAGCAGCACAGTAAGTACTAATATTGTAAACACAAGTCAAATTACCATCGGAGATGCATGTTTTCTTACACCCATCATTCTGTGACAAAGAAAGCCATTTGTTGCATTGAGAGCAATCTGTAATTCCTTGTCCCCCCAACAAAATACGTAATGGAAGGCATGGGTGATTCTTTTTAAAAGGCCTAAATTGGAATTTGTGCTGTAGAGGCCATATAAAACTGACAGGAAGGCACTCTGCCAAAAAGTTTAACTCTGCAGCAGCAAGGAATGTCTGATCTTGTTGAAGCATGATTTGTAAAGCAAGTGAAGCCTGAAATACTGAGTAATCCTTAGCCGAAGTTTAGAAAAAGAACTGCCCTCAAAAACAAAGCTTTCAGAATATCTTGTTTACTTGCACAGTCTCATCAGAAGGTGCTTTAAGGTTATGCATACAAGCTTTTTGATGTGAAGATTTTACTTCAAGCTAGGTGGCATGTCAGTCAGCAGGTCTTTAAATCAGAAAATTGCTGTAAATATTACTCTTCTCATTTGTTTACCTTGCTGCTCTCTAAATTGTAGCTGGGGTGTTCCTGTTTTGCCTTGGCTTGCTCATATTCCCCCAGGCTGCCTGCTGTTCTGCTTTTGAACTCTGTGCTTTCCTGGTCATCACTAAATAAACCTGGCTTTAGACCTGGGTTTTTATAGCTATTGTCAATAAAAGGTATTGAAAAATCCTTTAAGAGTGCTCATGTGTATTATTTGCCAAATCAAGTTGAAATTTTCTGTAATATAAATCACACCAGGTACTTATTCTTGAGTCAAAATAAATGTCCACGTACAGCTAAAGTTCACGTTCTTTTCATTCTTAACAGTGCATTTGCACAGTATAACATGGATCAGTTCACTCCGGTGAAGATAGAAGGGTATGATGATCAGGTAAGAGAAAACGTTTTACACTTGAGGTTTGTATTACTACACTGTGCAAAAACAATTAAAACATTATTTCATCAAGATGTTGACTAGTTTCATTCTGCTCACAAGTTATCACCTCTCCTTCTTCCCCCACACATCATTCTATTACCAAACTTTTGTTCTTATAGAAGAAGCATAGGTGAAATTTTCTCTTAAAGTATTGTCTGATCCCACCTAGTAACTCTAATTCATTGTTCCTTAAGTAAAGCTCCATGCTGAAGTCACTGGAATTGTACTTAGAGTATGAATGAGTAAAGATTACTGTTTATTTAAAGCTCACGTACAAATCCTTATGTTGCTACCTGCTTACAGTTCCTAATGACAATCAGTAGTAGATTCTTAATAGTATTTTTTTTTTCTGCATTTTTAATCCATTCCCAGCTACCCTAAAAACCATATTCTATCTTTGATTATACCAAACTAATAACATTCAGCCTATGCCAGCAAAGAAAGCTGGCCTGAACATCTATTCTCTGAGCAAAGTACTAACCTAGCTTTTCTGGTGTCCCAGATACATTCATAGGAGGCAGATATTTTTAAGAGGGCTGTCCATAGAAATAGCTTTGACAAGAGAAAGTTACAGTACAATCTGAAAAAAAAAAATAAAGTCAATGTTTGGGAAGCCAGAGAATTATGGTGAATAAGACAAAGGAGAGGGAAGGTACAGTGCTGCTTTGCTGTGTACTTTAGTTTGTGTGTCTTAGAAGTAGCCACATCTATATACCCTTCTTGACCAGAAGGGGACCTATTGCAACATGGAACATGACAACAAATGGTAAATTCCACAGTAAAATTCTTTGTTTCCTTTAGAAACGGGGAAGGAAAACAGTAAAAATAACTTTAAAAGCAAAACCACCTGTTTATATTGTAAGGATGCCCACCTTTAAGCTAAATATATACATTATTATAATACAGCCATTTCTGGGACACAAGACTAAGTGCAGTATTACTGTGAAGAGCAGAGAGTTTACCTACAGCCTCACTACAACTACTCTTAGTTGAAATTGTTACTGAAAATCCTTGTTTCTTTATGTGATATTATAGCTCAATGAAAAAAATCTGTTGAAACATTGATATTTATTCAAATAGTCAGGGAAAAATGCAAAACAGCACATTTACAGCAGCATAAGTGTATCTTAATTTCAACTTCTTTTGCAGGTCTTAATCACAGAACATGGTGATCTGGGAAATGGCAGATTTTTAGACCCAAGAAACAAACTTTCATTTAAGTTTGATCATTTAAGGAAAGAAGCAAGTGACCCCCAGCCTGAGGACACAGAATCAGCTTTAAAACAATGGAGAGATGCCTGTGACAGTGCATTGAGAGCTTATGTGAAAGATCATTACCCCAATGGCTTCTGTACTGTTGAGTATCCGTCTTGTTTCACTGCAACTTCATTGCTCCGTGTCAGTCAGTACCTTGAGTGGACTTTGTGCTGGGCAGTGCTGTTTGAATTCTCCATCCTCACTAGCATTTTTGCTAACTTTGGAATAACAAGTTCCAAAGAGGGTGCAAATATCTTGGTATGCACACAGTGGTAAAGATGTACTAGCCTCATTTTTCATAGTCATGACTGCCAAGCCCCTTAACACCTGCAGTTAATAAAAAGGAGGCATTATGTGCACCTATGCGCAAATGGAGGTATTGGACAATGTAATTAGTGGTACGTGTTCCCAGTGAGATACCACAATAGCAAGCCTCCGCAATGCTGCCAAGAACAGAAATTAAGAATGGCTTTTCCTCAGCTCTTGGGCCTTTTTAACTCTTTTTCTACATACAGGTTTATGGTAAATCTATAGATGGGCAGCAGACAATTATTGCCTGTATTGAGAGCCACCAGTTCCAGCCCAAAAACTTCTGGTAAGACTATTTCAACATAGCGTATTTTCTTCCTTTACTAGTCCTCAAACAAACCCATCCTCTCTGTCTTCTGACACAGTCCGAAGGGCAAGTAGTCTTGGGCTTCCCAAGAAGTTCTGCTTCTCATTCCATAGTCTGTTTTCCTTGCAGCCCCCTTGGCACTTCCCTAAAGCCTTCAGTCTGGCTCAGTGACCTATCCAGAGAGAAAAGCAGAGCTAGATAGATACCCCCTTACATATTCCAGAGCACGAGTACACTGGAGCTAGTCTGTACTGAAGCTGCATTGTATTCAGCTGCGCTTCAGAAATTTAATTCAGTGCCTTGTAAGGCACTGTAATATGGGTTGTAAGATGACAGGAAAAACAACTTGCTCTTGTTAATTTGGTTCTTTTTGTTGTTAGAGCTTTTAGGAAATAGAGTTTTCATGCTTTGATTGTTTTCAGGAACGGTCGTTGGAGATCAGAATGGAAGTTTACCATCACACCACCAACAGCTCAAGTGGCCGCGGTGCTGAAGATCCAGGTGAGTTACTTTTTCTGGCAATAACAGGAGAAGTTGCCTTGTGCTTCTCCTACAGTAATGCATTCGACTTAGAATGAGATGCTGAAATACAGCCGAGATGTCCTTCTCAACTCAAGATGCTATTAAACTATACAATTGAAGAAATTAATTTTAGAAGTAGTGTTTTGGACATCATCTATAATCTGGCATGTGGTTTATTACATAGCACTACTCTATATGCCTCCAAGTCTGCTTCACTTTATAGGGCTAAAACCTATACGATGAATTCTTTTATAATTGCTCTTATTTCAACTCTAGGCGTTTACTGCATTAACATAATCTTGAACAGTCTTGACAAAGAATGAAACCTTTTAGAAAATCCATCCTGCTTTTAGCCTCCACGTAAGCAGAGAAGACTGGCACAACAGTGCTGTTGTGCCATTCTGGTAGCATTTGGGGGCTCTAGGGATTATCACGAGTGTTAATGATAACCTGCATTTTGTCTCTTTGTTCAGGTGCATTATTATGAAGATGGCAATGTTCAACTGGTTAGTCATAAAGATATCCAGGACTCTGTACAGGTTTCAGTAAGTATGCTAAAAGATTTTTTTTATGATAAAGCAACTATTTTATTTCTTAAACATCTCGTGAAGCATACACTTTATGACTACATT